GTATGTACGTGGTCATTTCGTCTTCTGTAAGGACCACTGACCAGTCGGAAGTCGGCATGTCCCCGCGCTTTGGTCCTGGTCATTAAAACATTACAGCGTGTCTAATATTTGTCCCCGTGGAGCGCGTCCCCACGGCTCTCTGTCCCCGCGGCACAGACCCGCTCCTAATCCGCCTCCGTTCATCCCCCTCGTCCCAGGCCCTGTTTGTCCAAAGCTCCTCTGTATAAATGTGAGGTCTTACACAGCGGGCCCAGCCAATCAGAACGCTCGCAGGGGGTCAGCCGCCGGCCAATCACGTCGCAGCGTCAGAGGGCGTGTTCGGGAATTAATCAGGACTAACGAGGACGGGTGAAGGGCAGATGAAACTCAACTTCTGCTCGTTTTAGATTCCTGTTTGTGAGACTTGAGTTCTTCTCTCGAGCTGACAATGCTCTGTTACACCTCGTGATGTCATTGTGTGGTGAGACAGGAAGTGTTTTTAAACTCTACGCATCTTCACTAGAATCATCTGGATCGTTTCAGCCCTGGAATTTACAATCAAGACAAAATAAAATGTAAAAGTTGGTTGTTAACTTGAAAACTACACTGTAAACCCCAACAATTAAGCAGTAATTAAAAAATTAAAAATAAAGTAAATAGTTGCCTTACTTTTTTTTTTTTTAAGTTTATAGTCTTATTGTTTTTAATTAATGTAAAAAACAAAAACAAAACTGTAAATATCACAAAAAATATTTAATTACATTTAGTATGTAATTAAAAAATAATAATTTCCCAACTAATGAGTATCAAAAAATAAATAAATAAATAAATAACCTAGACCTGGGTTAGACCTGGTTTAGTCCTGGTTTAGACCTGGTTTAGACCTGGTTTAGTCCTGGTTTAGTCCTGGTTTAGACCTGGCTACTTTTAGTTTTTTTTCTTGAGAAAACATGCCTAAAGCTCAGAAGAATTAGTATTATAATAATAACAATTATTATTATTATTATATTATTATTATTTTGGCACAAATTTGGCAATCTTGTGCCGAATTGTCATTTTGTAAACACAAAGGCTCACAGCATCAAAACCCTTTGTCCTAGAGATCTGAAATTCTACACAGTTGTTGCCAACAACTTGAACAATGAGTGTAGTGAGTCAAAAATGCCTAGCATGAAGTATGCCCAAGCTAAGGCCTTTATTTTTGTCAATTATTTTTTCGAAGCAAAAAATTTTTTTTTTTTTTTCAATTTTAATTGACTGTACTGTAGGTTAGGCAGCACTCACAGTCTTCATATACATATCTACAGAAACTAGAAGGCCTAAGCTTTAAAATGGTGCCTCACACAAGCATGTGAGTTCTAAGGTTTTCTTTAAAGGAAGGATGTGCTTCCTAGTTGAATTAATTTACTGGATCGCTAAGTTGGAACCCACAGCAGGTGATCGGTAAGAATCACTGCGACGCTTGACTTGATTGGAGTATATTTATTGGAGGCTGTCTGTATGGGTGTGTGTGTGTGTGTGTGTGTGTGTGGTTCTGAAACGACAAGAAATACAAACAATAATGAATAATGTAAATGTATACAAGATGAACATAAAAATTATACAAATAACATGTTACAACTGAAAACCTTAATAAACATGATCAAACTGACATATATATATATGTATATGTATATATATATATATATATATATATATTGAACCGTCACCTTATCGTGGTGGAGGGGTTTGAGTGCCCGAATGATCCCGGGAGCTATGTTGTCGGGGGCTTCATGCCCCTGGTAGGGTCACCCAAGGCAAACAGGTCCGGGGGGACGGGTCAGACGAAGAACGGTTCAGAAGCCCCTATGATGAGTGTACGAGCAAGGCCAGTTACGTCGCCCGGATTGGCGTCACCGGGGCCTCACCCTGGAGCCAGGCCTGGGGTGGGTGCTCGCCAGCGAGCGCCTGGTGGCCGAGCCTCCCCCCACGGGGCTCGGCCGGGCTCAGCCCGAAGGAGCGACGTGGGGCCGTCCTCACGTGGGCCCACCACCCGCAGGAGGATCCATATGGGGCCGGTGCAGAGAGAGATCTGGGCAGCAGTCGACGGCGGGGGCCTCGGCGACCGGATCTCCGGACATGGAGACTAGCTCTGGGGACATGGAATGTCACCTCGCTGGGGGGTAAGGAGCCTGAGCTTGTGCGGGAGGTTGAGCGTTACCGACTAGATATAGTCGGCCTCACCTCCACGCACAGTTTGGGCTCTGGAACCCAACTCCTTGAGAGGGGCTGGACTCTCCATTTCTCTGGCGTTGGCCGCGGGGAGCGGCGGCGGGCTGGTGTGGGCCTGCTCATTGCCCCACAGCTCAGTCGCTGTGTGTTGGAGTTCACCCCGGTGAACGAGAGAGGGTCGCGTCCCTGCGCCTTCGGGTCGGGGACAGGTCTCTCACTGTGGTGTCGGCCTACGGGCCGAACAGCAGTGCAGAGTACCCGGCCTTCTTGGAGTCCTTGGGAGGGGTACTAGACAGTGCACCGACCGGGGACTCCGTTGTTCTCCTGGGGGACTTCAACGCCCACGTGGGCAACGACAGTGACACTTGGAGAGGGGTGATTGGGAGGAACGGCCTCCCCGATCTGAACCCGAGTGGTGTTTTGTTATTGGACTTCTGTGCTAGTCACAGTTTGTCCATAACAAACACCATGTTCGAGCACAAGGGTGTCCATAAGTGCACGTGGCACCAGGACACCCTAGGCCGGAGGTCGATGATCGACTTTGTCGTCGTGTCATCTGATCTCCGGCCGCGTGTCTTGGACACTCGGGTGAAGAGAGGGGCTGAGCTGTCAACTGATCACCACCTGGTCGTGAGTTGGGTTCGCTGGCGGAGGAGGAAGCCGGAAAGACCTGGCAGGCCCAAGCGTGTAGTGAGGGTCTGTTGGGAACGTCTGGCGGAGCCCTCTGTCAGAGGGACCTTCAACTCGCACCTCCGGGAGGACTTCTCCCGGATTCCGGGGGAGGCCGGAGATATGGAGTCCGAGTGGGCTTCATTCTCGGCCTCTATTGTCAATGCAGCTGCTCGGAGCTGTGGGCGTAAGGTCTGTGGTGCCTGTCGCGGCGGCAACCCCAGAACCCGGTGGTGGACACCGGAAGTAAGGGATGCTGTCAAGCTGAAGAAGGAGTCCTATTGGGCCTTGCTGGCTCGGGGGACTCCTGAGGCAGCTGACAGGTACCGGCGGGCCAAGCGTGCTGCAGCCCGTGTGGTCGCGGAGGCAAAAACTCGGAGCTGGGAGGAGTTCGGGGAGGCCATGGAGAAGGACTATCGGACGGCCTCAAAGAGATTCTGGCAAACCGTCCGGCGCCTCAGGAGGGGGAAGCAGTTCTTCACCAACACTGTTTACAGTGCGGGGGGAGAGCTGTTGACCTCGACTGGGGACGTTGTCCGGCGGTGGAAGGAATACTTTGAGGATCTCCTCAATCCCACCGTCACGTCCTCCGAGGAGGAGGCCGAGGCTGGGGACTCGGAGGCGGACTCATCCATCACCCTGGCCGAAGTCACTGAGGTGGTTGGCAAGCTCCTTGGTGGCAAGGCTCCGGGGTTGGATGAGATCCGTCCTGAGTACCTGAAGTCTCTGGATGTTGTGGGGCTGTCTTGGCTGACACGCCTCTTCAACATCGCGTGGCGGTCGGGGACAGTACCTCTGGACTGGCAAACCGGGGTGGTGGTCCCTCTGTATAAGAAGGGGGACCGGAGGGTGTGTTCCAACTATAGGGGGATCACACTTCTCAGCCTTCCCGGTAAGGTCTATGCCAGGGTACTGGAGAGGAGAATCCGGCCGATAGTCGAACCTCGGATTCAGGAGGAGCAGTGTGGTTTTCGTCCTGGCCGTGGAACACTGGACCAGCTCTACACTCTCCATAGGGTGCTCGAGGGTTCATGGGAGTTTGCCCAACCAGTCCACATGTGTTTTGTGGATCTGGAGAAGGCATTCGACCGTGTCCCTCGTGGTGTCCTGTGGGGGGTGCTCTGGGAGTATGGGGTCCGGGGCCCTTTGCTAAGGGCTGTCCGGTCCCTGTATGACCGGAGCAGGAGCTGTGTTCG